CAAAGCTGCTTCCCTAAACCGTTCAATGAGAAGCATCCTAACAAGACACAACATGTAAATAAGACAACTTTGGATTTACCAAAAGGCGTACTCACTATCTCAGTAATATTTTACATCCCAACATGAGGTCTTTGCAATTTTCAGCAAATGCTAACAAAATCCATCTCAAATTATTTTGTCAGGTATCAAGTCAAAATCTGCTGCTGGGATCAGATCATTTAATGCACATCCACCATTCAAAAATGTCATTAAAAGTAACATTTACACCCGGGATATTCAGTTTCATTGTGCATTCTTTCAAGTTAAACACATTTGTCTCTGCATTTAACACAGTTGGAATAATCTTACCTAATTGGCATGTTTCATTTGTTTTAAATGCATCGTGAGTGGATTTCTGCAGTGTGTGGCTTGTAAACACAGCTTGCAAAGTGACCCGTCTCTCTCCAGCTCAACAAGACGCGAAGGTCACAGCCCCCTGAATGCTGCTGCCAGAATTCAGCAGAAACTGTGCCTCTGAAACCTCAGGGAGCCGCTCTGGAAGGACATACCTGAACGAGCCTTAGTGATGAGGTGATACAGATTGTAACAGTTACTTTGCAGCCCAGGGTTTTTATGGTGCCGCCTAAGAGCAAAAACCATGGTGAATCTGATTGCAGGCTGCCAGAAGGTTTACATCCACAAAAATCTACAACTTTCAAACATAATTGAGATATATTACAGGGAGGGGGGTTGGTTATATGCACTGGCACAGGCTACCAGTACTAACAGAACATTTGACTAGTTAGATGATTTTGCATTAATTCAAAGAAGGTTCTGGTATGTTAATGTGTTTTATGTTGTTTTTTAAAAATAATGAACTGGAGAGGCTGTGATAGAAATTGGCACAAAAAAATGTAGAGCACAGTTTCACCAAAAATCTCATACCTGCTTTATCTGAAGAGACTGAAGTAAAATGAAGTCAAACTTGCTCATTAGCACTTGAAGAAAATGCTAATTTGAGTTTAAATACAGGACTTAATTGCATATTAAGATGGTCATTCTTGCAGCATGTTTTCACTCAGGCTCGAGTGTGTGTGTGTGTGTGTGTGTGTGTGTGTGTGTGCATACAGCCCATTTTTAGCACAAGTGGTCACCAGATAGGGCGAGCTGTGGGGAGTGCGTGTGATTGATTGAGAGAATGAGTGAGTACGACTGAGTTTGAAGGAGTACGTGCGCACCAGTAGCCTCTAATAAAGTATTAGCAGGACAAGCAATTTGCTTCTTTGCCAGGCTCCTTGGCATGAAAAGAAGGACTTTTACAATAATGAGAGAAGCAGAAGAGGCAGTGGAAATGAACTCTTATCTCAACTAAAAGAGGAAAAGAGGGAGACTTAAATAGCATAATATATCAGCATAGCGCAGAGGGGGGAGAGAGATAAATAGAGACAGAGAGAGAGGAAAAGCTGATTATTCACACGTTAGCCCTTTTTAACCTCTGGTTAGGATGAACCAATTACAGTGCAGAAACACCTATGCTAACATGGCCCAGCAGAAACATAGAAATTTAAATATGTCTAAATTTCATTTTATTAATACATTGACAATTAAGAGGTATAAGCTAAATAATTCAAACATATTGTTATCTTACACAATTTAGTTATTATAAACAAACTCCACGAATGAGAGAACCTGGGCATCAAGCAGTGGTGTCATCACGATTAAAAGTCAAGAGTTTCTTCACTGATGATAATGATCATCATTTTATTCAAAACACAGAATATTTTAACAACTCCTGAATCAAAAAAAAAATCACTGGTCTATCTGGAGGACACCCCTGGGTTCTCTGTCACCTTTCTTAATGTATTATTAATGCATGCAATTTTACATTTTAATGCAGTAAGTTTAACTCTCAAAATAAATCCAACTTTTGTCTTAAAGGACCAGTGCATAGGATTTAGTGGCATCTAGTGGTGAAATTGCAGATTGCAACACCCTCGTCTCACCCTCCCATTACAAGCATGTAGGAGAAACTACAGTGGCAGAGGCATTGTCGGGTTTGTCCATTCTGAGCTGCTGTAGAAACATGTAGACGTGTCAACAGGGCAGACTCCATGGAAGAGGACCCGCTCCCTCTGTCGATAAATACGTCTCATTCTTAAGTAACGAAAACACAACGATTCTTAATTTCAGGTGATTAAACACTAATTAAATCATATGAACATTATATTGTCAATAGATCCTCCCCCTTTAATGCTAATATGATCACAATGACAATGCTAACATGCTGCTGTTTCATGGAGCATCTTAGTTCAGCGTTTTAGCATACTAACATTTGGACTAAACACAAAGTACAGCTGAGACTCACTGGAATTAGGTTTGTTTTGCAGGTATATGGTCATAAACCAAAGTACCGTGAATGTCTGTACGACATTTCCTAATAATCCATCCAACAGTTCTTGAGATATCTCAGTCTGGACCAAAGTGGAGACCTGACCAACCATCCAACACTACCATCCAGAGAGTGATGCTGCTGGCATGGTTGAAAATAAGACCTGAGTTTTAGCTGAATTTTCATCGGTTGTCTCTGACCACATGAGTTAAACATCATTGATTGAACATTTAGGTGGTGTTCTCTCATTATGACATTAGATTTAAACAGATTTTGTCTTGATCTAAAAAATACATTTTCCCCATATTTTTCAGGGCAAAGTTATGACCTACTGTTACCTCACAGCAAGCCACGGCTTAACTCTCTGAGGCAAAGCCCTGTATTTTTATTCAACCACATTTCATCAGTGTCTTGCACTTTAAATTTTGATGCATTCAGGGACTATGGAGTGGTTAGACCAGAACAAACACTGGATGTGACTCAGACGAACTGGATGCCAGCTTGCAGTCAGTAACAGAGGACCACAGGCCTCCTGCAACACGCATCACACCAGGTACTGAAAGACTGGCGCTGCAGGAAGCCAAGGAGGAGGGATGAGAGCAGGAAGTTTTGTCCTGGGTGTGAGGCCAAAAATAACTAAATGTAGCCTACTGCTGCAGCATTCTGCTACTTGTGTCACTTTGAAAACTGTGAAGCTGCAGGTGATGGGGCTGTAGCGATTGGTGTTTATTAAAAAATCTGTGGTGGTATTAATGATTGGAATCTTTATGTACACCTACTGGTATAGCATAAGGTTGTGTTTTCTCATGAGTAAATATAATTGGATTTCACAAAACAATATAGTTGATAAGATTGTTCATGATAATAATAGTTCATAATAGAAACTGAGCTCATTTAGCCTACAGTCTAATTAATGTGGATTTCTGTTTTGGAGACTATTGCCAGTAATAAAGGATAAAGGATGTAAATTCAAACACCCTCATACAAAAAAACAACAAAATAGACGTTTCTGGAGAATTCTATTCTTACCAGAGTGGAAAACCTTGTATTGCACTAAGTTCAGGGCTTCCCATAGGCAACAAGTGTTGTATTGATTAATTCCACAATGAATATGTAATCAAACAAACCTTATCATATCAGATGTGGACTGCAGTGACTGAGGAATATCTGATGTTTCATTCGCAAAGTTTGTCTGGAGGCCATATATAGAAGTCCACACTGATACTGTACATCCCTTTGGAACTTTTTTGCATCAAATATGCATTCTCTTTGTCGTCCAATGAAAAGAAATCTTTGAAAGTCATAATAAAAAATGATGAAAAGTATGAGCAGCAGTGAGATTGTGTACCCATGCAATATCTCATCGAAGCTAACTTTATTGTTCATTGTCATGGCAAGGATAAATGAGAAAGGAAAGAAAGGTCATTTTTCATGTCACTCTTTACCACTCCCCTTTTCCTTCTTTTCTGTCTCTCTCACTCTTCCCTTCTCCCTCTTTCTTTTCCCAACTTTGCAAATGCAAGGTTTCACCATCTTTCTTTCCCCTCCATCATTCTTCCTCTTCTCCTCCCCCTGCCTTCCTCCTCTCCTCTTCCTCCTCTCATATGCAGGATTGTTTCAGGAGCTGTAACATCAGAGTACCGAGTTAATCTGCTGAACCCTGCAGGGTGGCAGTTTAATAAACTCTCATTCGTACACAGAGCGAACGGTAGAAGCACACCACAAGCCCGGAGAGCTTGGTGAATCAGTTCACACTGACGGAGGAAGAAATGATTGTAAAGGTGGGGGGTAAGATGGAGGAGGGTTTGAAATGCATGTGCAGGAGGGGAGGTGGGGTTTCATCTCATCTCGTGGTGTCATTTTGGTTCTGACTCCATTTTGTAAAGCTCCTCTGTCAACAGATGATTTGTTTTCATGTCAGTGGTTTTTATACACAGTTGCTTGCAGTGAATTTTGCAGTTGTTTATTTGTCTACGTCCAGTTTTCCGGAGCCCAGGGCCAGATATGAGGATGCTGATGCTGCAGAAATCATGTTTTTATTCTTTGAAGTTACTGAATAATTGGGAAGAAACACAGCAGAATCACAATTTCAGCAACTCTCTCCTTTTAGCTCTGGTTTGACCTCCACCAACTCCTGAGAAAACTATCTGGCTCTTGAACTGCTAAACAG